GAGATACGTTCGGGGAGTTGGGTTCGATCCTTGGTTGGACTTAGGTGTGAACTCCTGAATAACTCGCAAACGAGAAAGTAAGTGCTTATTGCTCACGAGTTTTCAATGATAAGCCAACTGATGTCAATCCATAGCTGAAATTTTCTGTAAATCTCTAATTTGATAAATTCATTGCATACATATACATAACCCACTCTTATCTAGAACGATGTGTTCATATCTACTTGAAAAATAGTGAATCTTGGGGTAAAGCATTGAATACTCTTTCCTATATCTTCCTCTAATAACTGGTTTTTACCCAGAACAAGTGGAAATCAATCAATCAAATCAGGCTCCTGTAGTCATTACAATAAAGTTTAGCAATATTATGGAATAAAATTCACGTAGCAAGGGGGTAAGTTAGGAAGTCTCACTAATTGAAAGAAACAACAAATAAACATTAAATTAAGTAAAGTATAAAATTCTTTTTCTCTGAGGAATCAGGCATTTGAATAGACGGACTAAACAATTACACATTCTGCAGCTACGTAGAGTTATCCTAAAAGCGTTCTGCAAATGAGAGCGTAGTATATCTAGGTTGAAAAAAACTAGTGAAATTTCATTTCCACTAGTCTCTCAGAAGTATTTTATAACTACATTTGTAAGTTCAAAATGAGAACTCCTGAAACGCTGATTTTCCAATCGACTCCTAGTCCCTAGTCGTTTCAAATATTTAAAAGCTCGAACCAATAAACAAAGAACTGCTTGAGGGTTATTCAAATACAAGAAGTGATCTCAGAGATAGATTTTTCGACAAACTAAGTAGTTTATATGATGAAATGATATTTGAGCCAAAGAACTTCAAGCACTTTATGTTGACAGTGCGAATGTTATAGATAGATGAGAATATGAGATCAGTAATCAAGTGAATGTCTCATCCATTTCCGAGATAGTCTCACTTACAGTCGGTTTCCTAATACCGGTTTCCTTGATAGGTCGGAACGGCTGTCTGCTGTGGCCTATCGCCACTGCCTTCTCCATCTCTATCGCTTTCACTACCCACCACTGCTCGTGATCATTGTGTAGGCTTTTTATCAGCCTGCGTCTGAGCTGACTTCGCTCTTCATCATGTTCAGAGCTGGGAGGCACGAATTTACGAGCGTCTATCATTTCGGAAGGTGCTACTGAGATCCATCGTTTCTCCCCAACCTTATGGTTTACCTTACTAGCAGATATCACTGCTGTTTCCACAGCCTTCTTGATATCATTCCAATCTGCCTCCGGATGGGAATCGCTTAAATGGTCGCCTAACTGTCTTTCTAGTTGTTCCTGAAATATATTCTTCACCCTATTATCATTGAGTAAAACCCTGAGAGGCTTTCTTACGGTATCTTTCCTACGCCCAGTAAGCTTCAAACAAATACGTGCTCGCACTATGGCATGATCTGAATCTAGACATGTGCCCCAGAACGAGCCACAGTCCTCTACCGAGCCCCTCCATTGGTGGCTGACGGCAATGTGATCTAGTTGGGTCCAACGTTGAGACGACTTTGGAGGTCGCCAGGTCAAAAGGTGCTCTTCATTATGCCTGAAGTTAGTGTTTGCTAACAATAGGCGGTTATCTGATTACAACTGCAACAAACGGTCGCCATTGTCTGTTCTCTGAGCCGCGACGCCATAACATCCACCTAGGTGTCTTTTCTTCTCACTCAGTCTACCTACTTGAGCATTGAAGTCAACAGCCATTATTACTACTACATCAGAGCGCCTAACATTTTGTCGGACGTTCGAAAGCTTTCTGTAAAACTCATCTTTAACCTCGTCTGAACTGCAGTCAGTGGGAGCATAGACAGATTCGACGAAGAGGCAGCAGTGAGTGTCCCTGTCTTTCCGTGTCTTTACTGTCTCGTTCAGTCGAACAACGCATATGCGACTATCTACTGGGATCCAGTCTAGGAGCGCTAGTTCTGCCCTACGACTCAATGCTATACTTACACCAGAGGGACCGCGGAAAGCAGCATCAGGGCTACCGGATACACGAAGTGTAAATCGGGCTGCTTCTTTGTTTTGACAAGGCGAAATCAGATTAATGAATTTACTAGGATCCTGTATGCGTGTTTTGGAGACGCAGCATACATCGATTGAGCGAGATTCTAATGTTCTAGCTAACGAAGCCTGTTCCCCTATTTGACACAATATCCGTACATTAAAAGATCAAACGTGTAGTCTAGAACGGGGTTTCAGGAGACCAGAAATGACGTTTCGTGAACTGCCATCGTTTGCTTCAGCGGCGCGAGGTAACAGACGATCGAGAGAAGGGTTGATCATGGGGACAAGAGAGCTATTATGCGTAGAAAGGATTTGATTCTGATTGATTTTGTCCCGCGTTTTTTTATGGGTATAGGGGCGGATGTAACTTCCCGGCTGCTCACACCGTGGAAGGGTTCTGTTTGTCAGGAGCAGCATCGGCCTCTTGACTTCCGAGGGAACTCGACTTTCATCAAGTGACGTCATAACTCTTCTGAATGAAGACCTAACTCCCAGAGCAACATTTATGAGGTGTGAATTTTCTTTTATTCCAAAAAAAACTGTAGAAGTTGAAATAGCTGATTACATGATGAATGATTCACAGAACAAGGCAGCTTAACAGCCATTTCTCTCTTGGTTTGAATTTACGAAGATTTGAGACTCAACTGATATGTATATAACTCCTACAGGAATTCCTACATATACTTCATCGTTTGAGACCCCAGTTTTATCTGTAAGAACATTAACCAGTAATAGTAATGTCTAATTAGAGTCATTTGCCATTTATAACTTCCGTTTTTAACCTTCACTAAACAGAATTAAAATGCACGTGTCGAAATAGCTTCAGTGGCTGTTAACATCAAGAGCCAGGATAGACACATGGAGTAGATAATCATGCTCCGTAGTCAGAAGGCATAATTAAAACAGTTAATAGGATTGACCTTAAAACACTTCCCAAAACTTCATAAATAGATTGTTAGAAATCCATTTTCAGGTTTATGGAAGTTCTGATCATTAGAAACTTTTAGCTACTTAAATTGATATGAAATACAAACAAGCATACAACACTAAAGGTTGGTTAACTCAAATGTCTTGAAAAATCAATAAGAAGTAAGCTTAAGTTTTAAAATCAACAATTCATAAAATCTTGCATATGATGATAAAGATAAATTAAATTTTCTAGGAACGAATGATTCATCCACTAAATATTAACTATTATCCGTCCAAAATTACAATAATAATTTGTTGCCCTATCATTATTTTTAGCCGAATTAAGGCCCTGTACGAGTTCAAGTTTTCATTTTTTTTTTTTATAGTCTATACAGAACGAGAAAATTAATAAAATGGGAAGCATAGGATGGGAGATAATGATAGTTAAAACAATGGAAATCTACACTTCAGATATACAGATAGAAAGACGGAAAGATATGATTCTTAGGAAGTTAATATCCATCAGCCATTATAAAACTGTCAGCGAAAACCTCACAGTAGTAGACGGTAATATAAAAGATTAGGCATCGAAGATCCCATTTGGTATGTGGATTAGCAGAATTTAAAAAGGTTTATAAGATCGTTTAGAAACCTAGAATCTAAGAAAAGATAAAGAGTGAACACAACTGAGAAATTTCGAACGTCTATGAGTCATATGAATCGGAGGCCTTAACCATTGGTTACAATAACCACGCGAGCCCGAACCGGATAGTCTGTATTTATCCAGATGACTCAGTTTATCACTAAATGACTTCATGAACTATGATGTCTTGATTCTGCCATTCCTACGTATTCTCCGATCTGCTTTTATACTAGCAAACGTCACCAGAGACGAATCACTGAAGAATTGGCTATTCGCTCATAAAAACCAACCGTATAACTCGTCCATGGATGAAAGCATAAATAATTGTTAATTTTTAGGACTGCACTTACTCAGTCTCAGTTAGTAAACGTACTACTTAAGTGAATGCAAAATATTGTCTATAAATACATCTTTGTGGTAAGTCATTAGATTGTGGCTAGAGATGGAATCTAGGCTGCGCCTTTCATTTTATTTTGGACTTGAGAACTGTAAATAGAAAATTTAGAAGCGTCTGCTATAAAGCAAGAATGTCATGTAGCCATATAGGCGGATTTATTTCACGCAAAAATCCAGGACGCTCTATTTTAAGTCGAATTCATTCGTCCATGAATTGTTGTCTCGCCGTCCACTCCTTTAAAGCTTATATCTGGTTATATACAGGCACATGAATTGAGCTAAACTGTCTTATAATTTTGCAGTCTCAAGTAAAGTTGATGAAAACCGACAAACACATGAAACTACACATCAAACCTTTGATGTAAGTTACAGCCTAACATTTAGCAAATATCGACTAAACGAATGGAAAAATGATCGAAAGTTCTGGTTATGACACAATAAGCTGTGAAAAAGTTGTAGACAACTTCATCCTTAGTTGTGCTGTCAATCAATTGAAAAATACATTAGATAAATAAATCCAATTTATATCACTGATGACCATTATAATGAAGCAGTTGAAATCATCTAAATAAAGTGGAACATCACTGTTCGTTGGTGAGAATGTTGTTTAAATGCTTGATACACAACGCTTCAGCTTTTTTTAGTTCGCTATTTTCGCAATTAACAAGGATCAATCGAAAGAACTAGATAGTTTTTAAACAACATATGACAAGAGCAGTGAAGTATGTAAGCCTCTGACAATCAACACTAACAAAGTAGTTTCTTAGAGAATATTTTTCGATGTAATGGCTTAAATCAACATGTAACACAAACACGATGTTATGTAAATTATTTTGATCAACCTAATGTCAAGTGAGTGTCCGTATGAAACAGTTCCTTGACTTAGGTGATGAAGTAAACTTAGTGTTCAAAGTCACACATTATTAAAATGTCAATATAAAGAATACAAATTATGAGGATTCGCTAACAAAACCTTTGACGAAATGGCATGTTGCAAATATTTGTAAGAAAAAAATAGACTCACAGATGCAGATGAAAAACAATCCATTTGTGAAATCGTAGTCCGTCTTTATTCAAACTGGCATAAGTATAAATTTTCTGTTAGTAATAATCTCATCATATTGCTGGGAAATATTCAACACATGAATTGCATCACTAAACATAATCCATATTGGCTAATGCGGTTGTAATGAATGAGTAAAAAACAGACGTGCAGAGGGTGATGACAAATCTAAGGAGTACACGTGTTAATTGGGCATTATTGATATATTTATCCAATCTTTAAAAATAAATACAGGCGCAAGCGATATGTCTTTCTAACGCTCAAATGAATTGACTAACTCGTCGTTGATTGGTCAGTGTCTGACCTTAAAATTTGACGTGTAATCACAGCTATCCTTATCAGGTAATCATGCAGACATGAAGTCATATAGTTTCTCAAAAATAACGGCCTTATAATCCTGATTTAATTGCGTGAATAGTTGACTTAACTTTTGCCATAGTAATTCTGAATCAATCTTAAGATGACTTTGCGTTTGGATTGTGGTGATTTGAGGGTTTTTCTACCAAGGTCATTTTCGACTTCAAATTTTAAATTTCCATAAATTATAGCTACAATTGTAGTTCCAGATTAATTTCTCAAATTTAACTGAATAATAGTTTTGTTTTTATGATTACAGAGGACAAATTTATACACCACAACTTTGTTCTCAGTGAGAATATTTCTTTTTGTAGCACAAATTTTTCCTGTTGTTTAAATTGACTCTATCCTAATATCACTCAGACACGTTCAAATCAAGGATTGTAGTATTGAGTTACAATACTACCTGAACGTAGTTTATATTTGTTAACAGTTTATCAATGATTTAACTCGTAAGGGTAAAATATATAATCATGACTTGTTGTACTCTCAACCTTTGAACAATATCACGTGGTAAATACAAAACACCAGTCAGAATTACGCCTTAGCACCAAAAACCTTAAGTTAGATCTGAATACTATATAAATATTCATCTCTAACATACCTCTATTTCTCTTCAATTTTACACTAATCGAACATCGGAAATGAGTGAATCGAGTTACAAGTTTGTATCTCACCAACAGATTTTTTATAGATCCTCCTCTTAGTAAATAAATAAAAGAAACATCTTTTTTTAGATGATGAGAATCTATTCACTTTTCTAATTAGGAACATGCTTAGAAATAAAAGTTTTTGACTTAGTCAGTTGTCATCACCTGTTCGTCTCATAGTATATTTGCTAAATAAGTTACTGCAGAGTTTCAATACCATTGCTTACCTTCACGTATTCTAATGTATTAACTTCTTATACCATAAAAAAATATACAAGGAGAAAAATGTGAATAGAGTGGATGATTAGTATCAAATAAGACAACCCACCATGTTCATAGTGACTCCTAAAGATTCATCACAAACGCTGCTTACCACCTTCAGTAATCTGATTAACATTGTAAAATCTTATCTCAAAGCCCAGATAAGAATAATGGGGAACGATAAAGGATAATAGGTAATATACAAGAGTTAACAAAGCGTAAAAGTAAGTACCGAGTAATGCCGAAAGTATGCCGTTTCTTTATATAATAAGTTAAACTCAAAACTTTGCTCGAAATCAGTAAAACATAAGGAGACTGGGAGAGATCAGAAGAAAAGGAAGTTAAGATAAATGACCATTGAGAGTTTTTTAACGATAGAACCTCCAATGGTAGAAAGTTCATGGGATTCAAACAAGATGTTTAAGTCCTGTTCATGTCTCTGGCTATAATTAACAATTTGAGATCTAGAAAGACCATTAAAAAAAGACTGTCGTACAGTGAGCGACAAGAGGGAGAAATCACTAAACATACAGTGCGGTTATCTGAGTACTTAACAAAAGTGTTTTCTGTGGAAGATGGCAGATCATACAGAAAAGAAGAGAAACCCGAAGATGATAAGACAGTTACTTGGGCACACCTTATTGACTTTGTAAAGACTTTGAACAATTTCTTCCAAGTACAACATACTGTTCTGATCCAGCGAGGTAAGAACACAACCAGTTGGTAATCCATCTGTCAGTTTTTAGGATGGCAAGCTTATTCAGTTGTCGTGGTCTTAGTATAGATTCAAAGGTAAGAGTTTAGTCTAGAAATGTGTGTCAAACATATTTCTTGCGCATTTCTCAGCTCTACATTACATTAAGATGCTGAAAAGCAAAAGCATCTGAGGTATTTCCTTTACATCTGTAAGCAAACTGATACGGTTCAATATACTCCTTTAATGTAGGTTGAAGCCGGAGCAACAAAAGTTTTATCCAGTTTTAGGAAAAGGTGAAGTAATTGCTATATGTCTAAATTTTGAATTCTGACCACCGGATACTTTCTGTGGAAATGAAATTATCCTTATTACTCTTCACATTTTATGTACAAAATTTGTTGAGAAAGATTCATTATACGTTCCTGAATGAATGACACAAGATGTCAGCACACTTCTTACATGTAGATTTGAGATTTCGTCAGGTCCTAAACATTGGGATGAGTTAAGTGGCTGGCGACGTTTTCGGACATTATTCTCTGTGAAAAATGGAACAGCACTCTTCTTCAAAGTTTTCAATATGAAAAGCACGATATCGTATAATTTACGTTCAAAAGACCTATTCAAGTGATCATCAATGATATATATGCCACCAGCAAACTCTTTAAAAAGTCTCCTCATATTTGAAGAGTTTTCTACAAGATAGTAGTTTCTGAGTAAACAGTAAATTTAGACATTTAATTTTTTGGTTTATTAAACCATTTAGCTTTTGGATTACAATAGAGTTTTTCGCCTCACACATTCTTTCTTATTTTCTTTGTAGTCATTTTAGTTGTGTAGGGTGTAAATCAATGAAACCTTAGAAAAATAGTTTCAGTGGGACAAAAACTATCAAGGTAAAATTGTGAAGGTAACCAGTAATAACATCAACGGTGTTTGCCAATTAGTGAACAAATCTCAAGCAGGCCACCAAAACTTATCATAAAATGAAACAATCTGAACCATCGTACAACATATTCAATCATCAGTTTCATCATTACGACTGACTTTATTTACTCTACAGCACATTATCGTTTTTTTCCATTAATATATCTCTGGGACAAAAACTTTTATCGATAATTATTGGTGGACATTTAATGATTATTTTTATTTCATAAATATGGTCCCCTTTATCATCTTAATGTGAACAAGAAAAAAATTTAATCAGAATAACATGAATTCAATTTATTTCGTTTGATTCGTGTCAGCTACTGACAGACTGTAATATATAAAACTATTATTACAAATTAGATTGAAATTACTAGCATGAAAAAACTTACTGGAAGTTACTATGATCATAGAACTGTGTAATATAGCAAGGGTGTAAATAGGGTGTAATAGAGTGAATAAAAGATTGAAAATGTATATCTTATTTATATAGAGGAAAATTCCACAACATTAATAATAACAAAAGATTAAAAGACTAGAAACAAGCGGTTACATAATGAATAAATTGAGTAAATCTCAGTTAGCTAATAAAAGATAACTAATCTAGAAAACTCTTCTTGAAGCCCTCCTTAGTTACTGCCTGTCCCGATTTCGGATAAAGGAGGGGGTTTAGGCATGGGTTTAGCAACCTCATACCGTCGGAAACCAACTCGCTGAACAAACGCTAACCAGAAAAAAAATAATTCAAACCTATATAACTCTGCACTAGGAGTTGAAGGTCTTCATTTAGAAGAGTCATGAAATCCCATGATGAAAGCTGAGTTTCTTCGGAAGTCACGAGGCCGATGCTCCTTCTGAAAACCAGAGAAACCACTAATATAGGTACATGGAATTTTCGTACATTGCGGGAGACCAGCAGAACTATTCAAGTTACTGCACAAATGAAAAGATACAACCTGGTGGTACTTGGAATCAAAGAAACACATCGGACGCAGATTGGACAACAAAGACTAGCTTCAGCAGAACTACTGTTTTACACCGGCAATGAACAAGAAAATACCTCACACGCAAGGAGTTCGTTGCACTGATGATCTCCAAACAAGCACAAAAAACACTAATGGGATAGGAGTTTCATCAGTTAAGGAACATCAAAGCATTCTTGAAATCAAAGGAGGAGGAAATAACAATGAATGTAAGTCACTTCTATGGGACCATCATCGATAAAAATAAAAAAGTTAAAGACTAATTCTACCAGAGGCTGCAGTCAACAGTTAAGAAATGATCATCAAAGGATTTGAGCATTCTGATGGGAGACCTAAACACCAAGGTTGGCATGGACAACACTGGATATGAAGACATCATGAAACGACATTTACTGCAAACCTGTTAGCCTTCAACAAACTGGTCATGGGTAGCACTATATTTCCACACAAACGAATACACAAAGCTATATGGATTTCACCGAATCACACTACAGAGAACCCAATAGACCATATCGGTATCAATAAAAATTTCTGAAGGACCATGCAGGATGTAAGAACGAATCTCCAGTGGTTGCATAATTATTCAATGAAACCATCAAGAAATCATACTATTATTAGTAAGAGAATGAATTAACTGGTTGTTAACATTCAGGACTATATTTTGGTCACTTTTTGTTGTTGTATACGGATCCTGTATGGGTTACATGGACGTAGCTGTTTTGTCATCATTTTTATTATAATAGGTGGTATGTGACTACCAGTGGAATTTCTAAATTGACTTAAAAGATAATAAATATTTTTGAATAAAGCTGGATAGAGGCTAAAAGTAGGATCCCGGACATGTGTCTCATCTTACCCTGGGATTTTCAGCAGGTGTACTTGTCAAATCTCAGGATTGGTGTTTTTACTAGTAATTGAAGACAGTGCCATTCTCTTGAAGCTACCAGTGCATTATCGATGGAGATACTGAGTCCAAATACCTAATGGTTTGTAAAAGGTTGTTGAGTTTTATAATTCTTCATTTGTAAGGATATGAACCTTCTTACTGGTAATCAGCATCGTTATTATGCTTTTTCAGCGAATTGGCGTGATTAAGAAATTGATTAAAGTTTTCAAATATTTCACAATGTCATTATTATAAAATGTGAGATGACGTTTTCTGTTGTGCATTTTTTTAACAAGTTAGTTTTTTACGGAATCGAGTCGCTTACCCCATGCCCAACCGTACTCCTTTATTCTGGGTTAGAACCAACATTAACCCCCATAGGGGCTCCATTGGGGGGGGGACAGGAGTAGGTTAGTAAATGAGTGAGATAA